CGTTCCGTGGCCCCATAAGGAGCTCCGCCGAAGGCCCCAGTGCTGCCGCCCGCATGCGTCCCGCACACCCAAGTCGGCACACCCCTCACACGTTTCGTGGCCCCATAGGGAGCTCCGCCGAAGCCCCAGTGCTGCCAGCCCGCATGCGTCACCCACACCCAATTCGGTACACCCCTCAATGCTTTCGTGGCCCCATAGGGAGCTCCGCCGAAGCGCCCCAGTGCTGCCGCCCGCATGCGTCCAGCACATTTATTTCGGCACACCCCTTACACGTTTCGTGGCCCCGTAGTGGGCTCCACCGAAGGTCCCAGTGCTGCCGCCCGCATGCGTCCCGCACACCCAATTCGGCACACCCCTCACACGTTTCGTGGCCCCATAGGGAGCTCAGCCGAAGGCCCCAGTGCTGCCGCCCGCATGCGTTCCGCACACTCATTTCGGGACCCCACCGAAGGCCCCAGTGCTGCCGCCCGCATGCGTCCCGCACACCCATGTCGGCACACCCCTCACACGTTTCGTGGCCCCATAGGGAGCTCCACCGAAGGCCCCAGTGCTGCCGCCCGCATGCGTCACGCACACCCAATTTCGGCACACCCCTCACACGTTTCGTGGCCCCATAGGGAGCTCCACCGATGGTCCCAGTGGGTGTGCCCGCATGCGTCCCGCACACCCATTTCGGCACACCCCTCACACGTTTCGTGGCCCCATACGGAGCTCCACCGAAGGCCCTAGTGGGTGTGCCCGCATGCGTCCCGCACACCATTTCGGCACACCCCTCACACGTTTCGTGAACCATCACACGCCGTCGGTCCCATAGGGAGAGCTATACCTAAGGCCCCGCACACTTCGGCCCGCATGCGTCCCGCACACCCATTTCGGCACACCTCTCGCACGTTTCGTGGCCCCGTAGGGGGCTCCACCGAAGGTCCCAGTGCTGCCGCCCGCATGCGTCCCGCACACCCATTTCGGCATACCCTTCACACGTTTCGTGGCCCCATAGGGAGCTCCGCCGAAGGCCCCAGTGGGTGTGCCCGCATGCGTCCCACACACTCATTTCGGCACACCCCTCTCGCGTTTCGTGACCCCTCACACGTTTTGTGGTCCCATAGGAGCTCCACCGAAGGCCCCAGTGGGTGTGCCCGCATGCGTCCCGCACACCCATTTCGGCACACCCCTCGTACGTTTCGTGGCCCCGTAGGGGGCTCCACCGAAGAAGATATTCACAATTGCGGTATTCACAATTGCATATGGTTGGGTCCTTCGCCAGGATATTTTTTTCCCTTTTTCTTTGTTTTCTCTGTTTTTTTGTTGTGTTTTCGTCTCCCCCCATCCTCCCTCCACCCTCCCCCTCCACAATGACTCAGCCATTCTGCCGTGTGTGAGTGCTGCTCTGCTCCCTCCCCCGACGATGGCCAGGGAGTGGCCCGCCCCCCCCCCCCTCTCTGCGTACTGTCTTCTCACGCACAAGATTTCAACACGCCATTTTTCCCCCAAGCTTTTCTTCAGTCGTGACGTTCTCGTTGCCTCATGATGGTGCTGCCGCTGCAGCGCGGGCCACTTTTCTACAACCGGGTGCTTCCTCATCGTTGTCGCTCTCCTTCTTTCTCCTCCTCCGCCTTCCCCTGGTCCTCCTGCTCCTCCCGCTCCGTCCAATTCATTTCCCGCTGCTGTTCGTCCTCGTCCTCGATCTCCTTCCTCATTCTTCTCCGTTTGCTCCTGCCCATCCTTCTATGACACGCGTCTGTGGATAGAGGACAACATATATACGCGATGACACGCGTCCGTGGATAGAGAGCAGCACAGCGTAATGAAAAGGGATGGGTGGGGTGGGGTGGTGTCGGATGTCAGATACGGCGCGAGCGCACCTAGCTTGATATGAAGACTCACCTCCTCTCCCCCACGGAGATGGCCAAGGAGTGGCCCGCCCCTCAGCGTACTGCCATTTTTATGTACCGCGCATGAGTTCACTAATTATCTGCTCTGCCCAACGGTTTGTTTCGTTCGGAATGTTTTCGGTCTGTCTTTTCATCGAAGCGTTTTCGGTGTCTCAATGTGGTGCTCCCGCCCCAGCGCGCGCCATTTTTTTGGATCCGAGTCCTTCCGCACAATTGTCCCCCAACTTCTTTCCCCTTCCCCGCCTTCCCAATGGTCATCCTGCTCTTCCCGATTCTCCCACTCAGCTGCTGCTGCTGTTCCTGCTCGTCCTCCTCCTTCCTCATCCTTCCTCCTGCCCATCCGCCACCTCTTCCTCCTCTGATGTACGCAGCTCCCCTTTTCCGATTGCGCATGACGCAACGAGGTCCTTTTGGGTCGTTCCACGTCCGCTGTGAAACCCGCCCGCGGATGTAGGACAAAAGCAGCACAATGGGAAGCGATGGGGATGGGTAGGATATCAGATGTGGCGCGAACGCACCCCGCTCGTCCCGTCCTCTCTGCCCTTCCCTCCAAGCTCGGGAGCGGCTAAGAGGGGGGTGTCCAAGAGGGGGGGTGCAAATCATGACCGGCGGCATGTGCGCGGCCCAGCGGGGGGGCCAGGGACGTAATGAAATAAGAAGAGGCGCCATGAACTCTGGGGAGATATCATGGCCCGCGCCATGAAATCCACGCCCCCCTAGTCATCACCCCCCTCTTTTCCGCTCCCGACAAGCCCATTTTGGGAATCTCTCCTCCGGAGCCCTCCGGGACGAGGGTCGACCACGACGCCGCGCACATGGGCGACCGCGGGCCCTCTCGCGCCCGGGCGGCGGGCAGAAGCGGAGAAGGAAAGCTCAGGCCGAGACGAGGGGGCACACCTCGCGTCGTGGGCAGGAGGAGGATGAGGAGGAGGATGAGGAGGAGGAGGAGGAGGAGGAAAAGGAGGAGGAGGAGGAGGGAGGAGGAGGAGGAGGAGAGGAGGAGGAGGAGGACCTGGTGGGCGATGTCGGCCTCTCGGGGCCCCCAGGCTGGGCCCCGCAACTGTCCGAGGACTCTGGTCCCGGGGAGGGGGTCGAGCCATCCAGGGGTCCACGCTGTGGAAAAATCGCGGCCTCCTCCTCCTCCTCCTCCTCCTCCTCCTCCTTCTCCTCCTCCTCCCTCCTCCTCCCTCCTCCTCCTCCTTCTCCTCCTCCTCCTCCTCCTCCTCCTCCTCCTCCTCCTCCTCCTCCTCAGGGCCACGAGGACGACGCGCGTCACCAAGTGCAGTTCTCAGGACCAGGGAGACCTGTCCGCACTCCGAAGGGCGGGGCAGAACACAGAAGACCAAGAGGAGGATGACGAGGAGGGGGCGGACGAGAGGCCGAAGAGGGCACAGGAGAAAGAGGAGGCAGTTATGGGGGTGAATCCCCCCAGCCTTCTGAGCTTTGGTGATTTGAACGACCTCTCTCTGCGCCGCCTATTTCCAACTGCGCTTGTCTCCGACGCGCGGCCGGAGCGAACCTGCTCTGGCCCCATTTGGGAAGCCTGGACCTTCGGGGTGGAGTTCGCTACGACCAAGCCAGGGCATAAACAACATCGGATCGGGACACATCGGGGATCTTTGAGATCTGGCCGTTTCGGAGGATGCATCATTCGCCCGCGGCCGTTCCAGAGCGTTCCAGAACGCTCTCAGAGCGTTCCGGAATGCTCTGGAACTATTTTACCCTGATCGTAGGCCTGACTGATTCACCCCCCTCCTCCTCCTCCTCCTCCTCCTCCTCCTCCTCCTCCTCCTCCTCCTCCTCCTCCTCGCGATCCCTGCGGATCGCGAGTAGCCAGAGCGATCAATAGTGCCCCAGGCTGCTCCAGTGATGGCCCCAGGCAGGCCCCGATCTCCTCCAAGACGGCGCAGGTGGCTCCAGCTTGAACACGAGGGCCTCCCACACGAGGCCCCGAGGGTGGCCCCAAGATGGCTCGAGGTGTCCGCGAAACCTCCCACGGATGCCTCGGAGAGGCTCTTCTTGCGCTGGCCGCTGGGCGCTCCAACCGCAGCGTGAGTGGCCCACGGCGGGCCGCGGGAAAGCAAGTCGGGCGCCTTGCCAAAACACCAGAAAGCCAATGACATGCAGGCGGGTGGCGGACAAGGCGAGAAACAGAACGCAAGCGTTGAGCTCGACCTCTCAGAGAGACTTCCATCCCCTCCCCGTCCTCAAAACCACACACACAACACACTCAACACACATCGTCGGACTCGGGGCGACGAGAGCTATGAGAGTTGGATCGGGCCGCACCGGCGCGGAGCCGGCCGGCGTCGAGCCGGACCGCACACGCCCCCGTGCGCAACAACGCCAATGCGAACACCGGGCCGCATCGGATCGTCGGAATATCAGAATCGACGACAATCGGGCCAGAATCGAAGTCACCAGTTACCTAATCGGATCGATCGTCTTCTTCTTCTTCTTCTTCCTCGTCTTTCTATTCTCCTCTCCCTTCCTCCTCCTCGTCCTCCTACCTGTTCTTCTGCTCTCATCCCCCTTGTGCTGCACAGGCGCCGGCGGCGTCAGCGACGCCGAAACCTACCGAAACCGACGGGCCGCAAGCGGCCCAGAAGGGCTCAGCGACGCAGCGACGGCGCAACAGCTGCCCGAACCGAGCCGACCGAACACGGCCGACTGCGACGGAGCCGAACCGACCGAACCGATGACAACCTTGCCATCCCGACCCTTCCTTGGGCGCGGATTAATGGGGGGCGATCAATGGGGGGGGGGACAGGTGCCCTTTTCGGACCCTTGAGGCCCCCTCTGGGGCCCTGAAGGGCCCCTTCAGGGACGCCTGAAGGGCTCCATTGCTGCAGCCCTCGCTACCCCCCATTTGTCGCCCCCCCCGCTTAATTCGCGCCCGACTTCCTCCTCTTCCCCCCTGGCCGGGAAAAGGAGAAAAGGATACACACATTGATGCGACGACGTCAGCTAGGTCCGAGCCAACCAACACGCGTGTGACCTGAAATGTTTCCGCGCGCGCGGGAGCCCCTCACTCCGTCCACATGTGCATGAGATGCGGCTAACTACACTTCCGCGAGCAAGGGTCTGGGCACGCGACCAGTACATAGTGTGTGAAGTTGCGAGGACAGGCAGGGTACCCTCGAGACATCGGCTGAACACCCACCGACTTGGTGTGACAGTGTGCGCGAAACGGAAAGACAACTAACAAAGCGTGTCGAACAGACAGATGATGAATACACACGCTTGGCAGTTCGGCGTGCGACGGCAAGTGCGGCGCAGGCAAGGACACGGACGTACACTTGCCTTACCCTTTGCATGAGAAGCCGGGGGCAACTTCCTGGGCGATCGCGCAACAACAGCAGAACGTCCAGGTCAAGCAATCCAAAGCCTCCCTGCACCCTTTCTGTCCAATTGACCGCTGCAACCACTTCAACAACGTGTGATTGCATACCTTACAAATGCAAACGAAGGCGATGCGCTCCTGAGTGATGGGCTCGTGTAAGTATATCCGGGGACCTACGGTGGACCTAGATGAGGCAACGTTTCGGAGGACTCCATGCACGCAAACGCTACAGGAAGGTTAACGGTGAACATGTCTATGACTTGCTGTGGCTTTCACATTCCAGCCGAATGGTTCGGACGCATTGCCGCTTCCATACCTAACCCATCCACACACACACGAGAAACATGCATAGTGCAACCCGCCCGCATTCCATCCATGTTCTTCGGAGTGAACGGACCGTGGTTGTAGATTCTCCGCAGCCTCTGGCGGAAATACACCTTCACCCACCGGCTCAAAACAACGTCCTAAACATTAGCAACCCGCGCTCGTACCCCGCATACACACAAGGTCAAAAGTCAGAAGGAACTTGTGTGAGGGACCACAGCATCTACACCATCCCATCCATTTCCATCCTCCTCCCCCTCCCCCTCCCCCTCTCCCCCCCCCTCCCCCTCCTCCTCCTCCTCCTCCTCCTCCTTCTCCTCCTCCTCCTGCAACTGCACGGATGCACGAACTTTACGGCCCGCCTTGCCACCTTCCTTGTAGCACGACGAACGAGAGGGTAGCTTCCTTCGAATCGGAGCTCCCGCCTGCCTTGCGGGCCCGTGGCGTGCTCGTCTTTCAAAGGGGGGGCCCTGTGCGCAGGGAGAGTCCGCCGGTCCCCGCTTCTTGCAAGGAGTGACGAGACGCGTGAGATAATTTCTTGCCCTCCCCCCGTTTGAAGGGGAACGGGGGGGCGGGAGGGGGCGAGGAAGGCCCGAGCTCGCCAACGCACCCGCGTGGCCTCCAATATTCGTAAGATTCGATGCGAGCTTGCTCCAACTGGGTTCCCACACGCAGAAGACACCTCAAAGACACCCACGATAGACTCAAGACGGCCCAAGAGGCTTCGAAAACGCCCCAAGAGGGCCCACGAGGCAGACCTCGTCCAAATTCCTCGGGGCAGCGCGCATTTTTAGCACCTTCGCCCTCTTCGTCCTCGCAGCGTCCAAGACGGCTCAAGAAGCTCGCAGAATCGCACCACAGCGACCCAACAAGCCCCCCTGAGGGCCCCCGAACCGCCCCTGAGGCCACCAAGACGGGCCATGAGGCGCCCAAACCGACCAAAGAGGACCCCAACAGAGCCCTCAGAAAGGCCTGAGAGAGGTAAGTCGAATTCACTTTTCGGGGTCTCCGCCCGAGGAAGACACCCCAAGCCGCAGGCAGGCGCCCGAGGTCCCCGCAGAAGGGGCCCAAAGCAGCTCCCGTAGGCCCCAAAGAAGCACTCAGCTGCCCTCAAAATGCCTCCATGAAGCCCCGAAGCATTTTCTAATGCCTGGCACACAACGCCCGAGCTGGTCGCGCGTGAAGCTCGCAGCCTACCTCCGAGGAGGATGCCCAGAGAGTGCTTGCGCGAAGTCACATGCAGTCGGTCCATACAGCCTCAGGACGGAGCCAGAGAACAGCGGCTGCTCACGTAGCCCGGAGCCGCCGCAGCTGCATGGGGCTTTCTGGTAGCCAGCCAGAGAACGCGGGCGCCGGTGCCACACCCTCTTGCCCGCCGGCCCAACGAAACGATGGGCTACCCACAGCAGCGTTGGGACTTTACTTCCCCTTCACCTCCGAACGTCAGGAGGCCCCCGTAAGGTAACTCCGTTTAAAAGAGCCCTTCAAGGGTGGATCCGGGGGCCGGATCCTACACCCGACTGGCTAGGCCGAGCGGCAAGAGTCTCTCCCCAAGCTGCGCCCAGCAAGGGTGACGATCGGGCTGCTACCCGCCCGTTTTTCAGAGACGGCCGAATCCCTCTGTGGCACAGGTGCCAAGCCCCAAAAAGGTCTTACCAATGAACTTGTTCCCTCTCCTGGTGAACCTCGCGCGTCCAGGATACCGCACGCCACATGTCTGGCATTTGTCAAACTCCTGGCCCCGTGCTCGGGCTCTCGTGCGTTCCCCCCAAAACATCTACATGACCTTGCGCCACTCTTCAACGCATTACGGCAACCACGCGAATTGCCCAAGCGTCGCGTTCAAGCGCCATTGCGACCCCAGCGATGGCCTCCGTGCGTGGCGACTGCGCTTGGCTGTCCCCCACCCAAGCATATGTTAGCCCAACATGGCTGCAACCCATATCGTCATGTACGACATTGTAGATCAGAACTCGCCCTAGCGATTTCCATGGACTCATTACTTTGTCTGAGAGTCGGCGGAACAACGTAAGCCTCTTGAATCCTCCGCCCGCGCACCGGGCTGAGGGGCGTATGAGACTTCATTGTGAGAGATCCTTGCAAAGCTTCAGCCCGCCCCTCTTCCCCCACCCCCCGCCCCCCCAGAGGTCTCCGCCATTCCGCAGCCCGGCCGCATCCCATCCTCTTGTCGGTCCCCGAGATTCGATCCCCCAGTTGAAATATGGCTGCCAATCGGCGTCCAAGGCGAGCTCGAAATCCATCTGTCCCCAAAAAGCTTGCGGGCTGCATGTCGGCTCCGTTCCAGCCCCGTCGGGGCCCGTTCGTGGTGCCCCAAATCGAGGCCCAGGGCACTCTGGAGCGCCTATGGGGCCCACCTTCGTCAACAACCTGGTGCGACTTCTTGATGACCCTAGCCTTCCCAGCGGGCGTCGCCTGGACGCCTCGTCTGGTTCACCTTGGGGCTCCTCTGGCGGTTTTTGCAGCACGCAGCCCTCGCCACCGCTTCCAGACGAGCTTGGGGGCCAGTTTTCGACGACCCTGGGCCCAACGTTGCCCCCCAGAACGAAGCCCAGACAGGCCAGCTGCGGGCGCGACTTCGATGCAAGACTACACACGGCTGCGGCAGAGCGCGGGAGTGCTCGCGCTTGGGCCGCCCAGAGGCCCGCCGAGCCGCCTCGGGCGGAGGAGGAGGAGGATCGGCCCACCGAGGGGGCGCGGTCGTGGCCAGAGACACGCCGCGGCCCTTGTGACCGAGCCTTCTACTTCGGGCGTGCACGCTTGGCATTGCCTGCTTTAAAGGGCTTAATGGGTCCCCAGAGGGCCAAATCTTGGCCGAAACATTCGGTGGCTGGCAATTCGCTAACCTACGCAACGCCTCCCGTCCACTGTCAGTGCCCGCACCACCTGGACAAGGGACGGGGAGTTGGTTGAGCCTACCACCTCCAGTGCTCGTGCAGCTGCCGAGCCTCGCGCACGTCGTACACCAAAGCTGACCATTCATAATTAGCATCGAATGGGTCGGGTGTATGACTTTACCTCCAACTGTAAGTGAGGGGTACGCAGAGGGCGGGATGGGCAGGGGCACGTTATAACAAGAAACAAACGCTCTACCTTTGCACGGGTGGGCCTGCATCCAGTTCTCAACGGCTTCTCGCGTGGGGCCAAGCTTACAATGAACACAGAACCAGCGTTTCTTGTCCTTTGGGTGCTGCTGCATACAGTGGCCCGTGGCATGCTCAAGCACCCGCTGAAGCGCAACTATCTTCACAGGCCTGCGGCGGGTGCGCACTCCCAAAGGACGCTGGTGCTTGACCCTGGGGAGCGAGTTGGCAGCCGTAGCAACAGCGGCAAGACGCTTGTGGACCCGTTGCAGGAGAGCTTCATAGTCCTTCAAAGAATCTAATTGAGGCTGGATCAAATTCAAGGCTTTCCCGAGGCCACGTTGGGCAAGGGCGTCAGCTCGTTCATTACCTACTGTTACAAACCAGGGCTGGGAAGCTACGCTCAGGCTCACGGCATCGAGATGGGAGTTACACTTCTTCACGCTGACATTGGAAATCCTGTCGGGCCTCTGGAGGATAGCCTGCTTGATCCGCTGCCACCACTGCATATGGGGACCTTGAGGGTAAAGCCACAACCGAGAGTTCCAACCACGGTGCACTAGGGCATTGTCGGTCCAGATCTCGAGGGCCCCCTGGGTGTAGAGGAGACAATAGTACAGGCCAGCCAATTCAGCACAGGGAACCGTCTGACGGCCGTCGATGGTGCCGAAAAGCCCAGGAAAACGATCCGCCGCAGGAGGCCTGTCGAAATCGAGAGCGACCCCCCAGCCTCCACGAGCAATACGGGCATCTGCTGAATTGACGGAGCCGTCGAGGTAGGCCCTGCAGGCCTGGATCGGGTAACCGCTGATGCAAGAGTAGCCCTAGAACTGGGGCACCTGGATTGGCATGTCGACGTCGTAGACGACCTGGGCCTCATTCCATTCTGGGGCCTCTGGAACCTTGTTGAGCCTGGCTGGCAAGATACCACGGCACCAGCACATCTTCATATCAGGCTCAGCACTCACAGACTGAGCAGCTCTGTTCTTGAGGTCCTGGGTACGGCGGATCCAGTCATGGTCGATGTCATCATTTTCTCGCACAGGTAGCAGCGGTGCAGCAAGTCCTCAGCTGCCTCTCCACAGCGCGGGCACAAGGCTGGACAAACGTAGCCCGCTGCGGGGGTGCGCTGAGCAGTCCAGCAACTCCCAGTGACGGTGTTCTCCAGCGCACCCGCTTCCTTGAAGAACTTCTTGCGTCTCATCCAGCGCAAGGTGCGCGGCGTCGCTTGAAGATGGCCTCCTTGTTCACAGCCAAGGCCCTCAGGATGTTGGCCAGCTTGCTTCCACAGGTCGGCTTCAACACGGGCGTGCACTGCATCGAAGAGGGAATTCAAATCTGTGTCGTCGGGGTTGTAGGTCCAATCATTGCCATCTGGGTCCGTCCAGCGGTCAGGGTGACGAAGTTGCCAACCAATCTCGCCCATGCCGGCGATCAGGGCAGCCATGGGCCCTGTGACCGACCGCAACTTGGACTTGGCACGGATCTGGGCCATCTTGGCATACACAGCCTCCCACCCCAACCGAACTCGAGCTTGGTACGGTTCTTGCTGCGCCCAGAAGGTGAACCACTCCGTGACCTGGCGTCTGAGGTTGAAAGATGGCGGGTCCTGCTTATCGTAGATGTGGAGCATGATGGTCGAAGTGCATCTGCCACCCACTGTAAAGCCTGCCATGGTAGCTGCCGTAGCTCGTTCCTGCTTGGCTCGGGTAGCAGGCAGTCCCATGACGGAGGCGTCGTAGATCCTCTTGGCCCGAAGGTTGGCGGTGTATAGCCTTGCTGTGGCTTTGCGTCCGACTCCGCGCTTCTGGAAGATCTGTGCCCGTCGGAACCTCTTGGCTGTCGCTCTGGCCCTCTTGGCCGCAGTAGGAGTACGCCGTTGCCTGCTGAACTGAGCGGTGGCCTATGATGACGGTCTTCTCAGAGACCTTTAGTCCAAGCTTCTGAGTTCCGTCGACGAGAGCTGCCGAGCCTTTTTCCATTTGATGTCGTACAAGGGAACGGTGTCCTTC